CGTTCCCAATTTGTTGGTATTTATTTATATGTATTTCGCGGTAATAATATTTCTCTCACACCACTGAATATAAATCACTACCCGACGCCCATGATGAAACTCACATTCTGTTGACTATAAATGCACTAGTATGTCACCCAGATGTGTCTATTCACATTCTGCCTTATGTTCTGAATGACTGCACATTTTCTGTGCATTCCTTGTAATGGATTTTGACAGTTATACCTACTACATCACCGGCGACCACTGATCGTCCCTTTCTACGACAACGCAGCTATCCATAACACAATTGTATTTCGTACTGCTTAGTTACCAGTCCACAGTGCACACCTTCATTTCACTGCACATGGAACATTTCACAAGATTGATTTTATGAGCAGTGGGGTGGAGATTTGAATGATCTCAGTGTTGCTGAGTTCTCCGGTCATGGTGTTTCAACTCCGATGATTCAATTATGACTCCAGACAAATTCCCACGTGCCAAATTCAGAGTGGACTGAGAACTTCCATTTCTCTATGGATGAAATAACCCTCAGTTCTAAAGTCATTTACTATGATTGCGTGGCACTACTATTTGTTAGTGAATGTAATGAGTATCAGTAGTGTAAAATTGTACTTTTCCAACCTCCATTTCAAAACGGAAGAATATGGATACTAGCGATGTAAGATGCCGGCTTTGCCGATAACTGTTAGCAGTATCTTCGTGTGGCTGATTCTTCAACACTGTATCAAAGGAACAGCTGTGATCTATTTTAGCCTCACGAATGATATCAACAATTTGTTTATTTTGAGTATCTCACCATCGGACAATTTGGAGAGTCAATATCGACTACACAAGCTTATGTGTAATATGCATTAATTACGACAAAATATGCATGTATTGTTCATCCGTCGCCTAATTCATTGAGTTTAGACTCAGCAACCAAACTACTGCCCTACATCCGGGTGATTTATGGGTGTTGAAAAACGAATTTTTCGATAAATCTTAGTTTTCTGAGTGGTGATGTCACATTTCATTCGCATTCACCAAATAATGGAATAACGCTTGTGAGTACGTCAGATTGCTTGTCCTAGCTACTTCACGGACTGGAGGTACGAGCACGCTGAGTTGCATATTCGCAAACATCTTCATGGCGAATCTAGAGAACACAAAATTTAAAGATGTAATCACAGAAGTGACAAACAGAATTATCCACTCCAATATTCTATACAAAAATGTATGGCATATTTCTTGTAAAATACTTAACTCACTGTGAGTAAATGAAGAGATATTAGATTAGATATTGGGACTGCACATAACCTTTTGATTATAATTGTCTGAGTTCTGTTCAGGTTCTATTGCAAGGAACCCTTAACAAACTTGCAGTGGTGTCCATTAGAGTTCTCTTTTAAAATGCTCAGACAATCGCTGTTGTTTCAAATTTGTCGTTCGTAAGTTAAAATGTGTGAGGTGGCAACCCAATAAAGCTCTCTTCCCTAACGTCAAATATTCAGACCACAATTAGAGTTCTGCCTTTCACCATAAATAAGAGTTAATAAAGCGGGCGAAATAGCGTGATAATATATCACAAGGATTGATATGAGCAGTCTTTAGCTGCTTGCTAGCAACACTGAAGTGAAGTAAACCTCGAACATCCAAGCGTTTCACTTCTATGAGAATGAAGTCATTAGAATCGATTTTCCGGCTAGACCCATCTCCGTGAGCCGAATCGGGTCAATCAACTTAAATTCCGACTAGCAGTTTTGGTGAAGTGATATTAAACACAATGAAATGTGTCGATTCACAGCAGTTCTATCTGCAGACTCACGGTATTCAGACAAATATATCAGATCATTTTAAATAGTGAGAGTAAACGAGGTGTAAATAAAAATTGTGGAAGATGAATTTAGGTGTCAGAACACTTGAGCAAATTGTAAACAACGAAAACGAAAATCAAATTTATCACACAAGAATGGAGTGCAGTTTGCCTCTGTATGAGTTGGTTGGTTTGAATGCCAACCTAATTCTACCCTTATTGAAAATGCTGTCTAGGGTTTCTCATGTTCTTTCTTTATATGACAGTACTATCGAGGCTTTGAATTTCTTCCTTATTTGTATTATTTTCGTTACTTGCATTGACACACTAACTGCCCATATTTATCTTCACACGTCTCTTGAATAAAACTTGATGGATGTATTGTGAAAATGGTCACGGAGATCGAGTAAATGGCACAGGAAGGCTCTTCTGTGATAGAATAAATGAATAACCGAATAACAGTGTTAACCTAATGGGTGATTATGTAACTGACAAATCAGTAACGCACTGAATGTATGTCATCAGGACTGCTTCAATTACAAAAGACATGTGATCCTAATCGATGTGAAACTTCCATTCCAACATAAATGTCTCTTTTTTATAGAAGCTGTATATATTAATGAGTTCATGGTTTGTAATTTGAGTACATGTGAGAATTTTACATAGCAAGCTCTCTTTACAAGGCGTTATTACATTTACTTGAGGAGACATGACAGCGAAAATGAAAGTGTGTATGCAAGTGAATTAAAACTAGTGGTTCATGAGAGGAACTCGCTTCGAAGACTTTAGTTGCTATATTTGTAACCTAGAACATATTACCTATGTCTCTGGTGCATTTGAGAACACTTCAAGAAGACATTCAAATATCTACTTATTCTATTCCACCTAACCGATCATGAGATTTCTCCTGAAGGCAAACCAATAGTGATTGTAAGTGAATTGTTTAAGTTACATTGATTAAACAATATCCCACACTGGGATGGATGAAAAAATGCGAATATTTCTGATATGGCTATGACTAGGTCCAATCCCAGTGAATTTAAATAGCGAGTTCGTGTGACGGCTTAGAAGGTGTCACACCATCGATTCGTCTATGCATATGAGATGCAACAGCTCCTCCTCTCAGTGGATTTTGTCAACCTTAGATACTACATCACTGGTGATCACTGACTGCTGCTGTGGTTCTACGAATTCAGCATTCCTGTATAGCTCATTTATGTGCTCTTGTCTACAACAACGCAGTCACCCATCACATTAACGTGTTTCATGTTAGTTAGTTATCAGTCTACAGGATGAATCATCTTACCACTGCACACAGAACATCTCGTGAGAGTTCACCTGTGAATATTAGGTGAAAAATGTGGGTGATTTCACTATTGCTTTGCTTACTCAGCTGGATGGTTCCATTGTAAAGATTTCATTATACTCCTAGACAACAAATCCTGTGCTAAATTCATCGAAGAATCAGACCTTTCACTTCTCCAGTATTTGCGAATAAATTCAAGTGGATGAATATTGCAAAACTTGCTGTTATCGACCTCCATGTCAGCAATGAAGAAAACAGATACTAGCGATATAACATACTGAATCTGCCGATGACATTGATAACATGACATTGAGGATTATCTTCTGCTGGCTAGTTAGCAAACAGTGCATTCCGGACATAGCTATAATCCATATTCAACACACTGATCATGTTGTATCAGTTGTGTTCTCTGAACACAACCAGTGCAAAATCATCCACCTGGACTACAAATCTCCTCCATTATTTCGACATCGAGGATATCATCAAGTTGTTTATGTCAAGTATTTGACTATCAAACAATGTGAGGGGTTGACATCGACTACATAATCCCGTGTATAATGTGCATTAATTACGACGAATTTCACACATAGTGTATGTTCAGAGCCTTATACATTAGGACTAAACTCGGGAATACTAATGTGGACCTACCTCCTAGTGATTTATTGGCATATGAATAGTGATGTTAAATCCAGGGAATTCATGTACATTTCATCCACATCCACCTCTGATTACTCCAAAGATGGAGGTAAACTTGTCATATGTACTGTAGCTGACTAACAGTTTGGGTGGTGATCCCATGATTGAACAAGTAACATTCTGAATGTTCGACATTCACAAAGTAGTTTGAAGTCAGACGAAGAGGTATTTCCTAGATGTAGGATCTGAGAACTGTCAACTATGAAGTGTAGCGTATAGTTCTTATCAGTTAGAGAATGTCTTCAGTATTCAAATGTTAGCAGGAAATATATGGTTCAGCCCTTGTAAGATTTGAATGTGCATAGCATCCACTGATATTATGTAAGGAATCCATATACTGCAAAACAACATCACGGAGGTCTTGATATGAATACGAGCAATAAATCGTGCTCGAATCGTCATCAGTGAATGACACTGTATCACTGTGTTTCATATCAAGAATTCAGGCTACGATGGGACGAAATCATTTCAGACCAGCATTTCTTCACATCTGTGAAGACCTGTGTTAAATAACCAGTGTGGAAAACAAGAGGTACATTGAACTTCTTTTATCACCTTTGTGCCCACGTTTACACTGGTGATATTTAACGTCATGACCAAATCCCCTTATCTTCTCTCTGCCAAAGTCTTTAAGTACAAAATGCAGAATGCAACTCAGACTGAGTGTTACTTTGTTGAGGAACACATAATCACATCATCAGGGCATGTATCATACAGGAATTAGTGATTTTGTCTCATTAGCTAAGGAAGAGGCATGTGGGCTATTTTCACCATAGAGGTAGCATCGATTTATGCGGGAATATACGCAGAAACAATGTAACCTGTGTAAACATTAATTTTTCTGTTGTAGTTATCAGAACGCATCTTGTCTAAAAGTGAATTACTACAATTAGGCACTTCTGTGGCGATATCAATATAGCCGATTCGTCCATAATTATACCTTGCATCTGCAACAGTTGTTGAGTTATTTGATTTCCATTGCTTACAACCATATCCCTAGAAAAACTCATTATCCATCTCAGATTTCTCACCGATTCGCCTCGATTTTAGCTCTGTTTACTGCATACATTTGTTTATTTATTTTGTGTGCTACTGTAACCAGGGGTGTTGTATAAAATGGAGTGTGTGGAGCACACGCGATTCAGACTACCATTCCACCCAAGGAGAAAAACAATGCATAAAACAAACTAAGTTTATGTGAATTGACTTGAAAATATTCAAATGAAAACAGTTCTCACAATTCACTACATTCATTATCACGAGAAACATATACCAACATTTTGTTATGACACCAACGAGGATTGATCATTTGCGAGACTCTTTCACCGTCGTCGTCACCTTCTTCGTAGTCGTCACATCTGATGCCCCGCCTCCTACGCTTGGCGCTCGCTCATTCGGACACGCCCAATGAACCACCTTCTTGACCAGCTTCTTCAATGTGGGAGGTAGAATGTTGAACATCTTATCCAGAACTGAGAGTGGTCACGCGTGTGGGTGTGTGTGCAATGGTGGTATATGTGGTGTGATGCATTGGATTGTTCGTTTTGTGTTGATTCGCAGCATGGATTCCATCCACAAAGAGCAGAGGGAGAGAAATGAAGAAGAAATATCAACGTCATCAAGTGAATACATGGAGTTGGACATGAATTCGACTACCAACAAATCTCGTGAACTTACTTAAGCCTTGTGCATGACTGACGAGGACAGTTAAGCAGATGAGGAGGAAGATGCACTAATAGAAATAGTGAGTTGATTAGAATTTTGTCACTCACCTTCATTTTGTGTTAATGTGAATACAAGTGACTTGGAGTATTTCTCTGACTGCTGTTCCTGCTAATATATATACGCACAGAGTATTGATTTCGTAGATTGATATGTACTTTTTAATAATTTGTTGTCACTTATCAAGTGAACTTTTGTTGATTGAAATCTTTTCTTATCTGAATTTAGAAGTGAAGGATTATGTGACTGAATATGCTGGCATCGTAGATTGACATTGATGTCATTTAGAGTATTTGATCCATTTTATATTGACTCTTCTTATCGACATTTCACTTTGACTCTCCCCCATTTCTGAGTCACATTAAAGCATAATTTTCGCATTTCTTACGGATTTGACTTCATGGATGCCTAGTCAATCTCCACACGTTAATAATTGGCAGAATTTAGACATCCTTGAGGTACTGATCACCCTACAATTTGTGAACTTTGTGGTCGTGAAGTATTCGAGTTAATCTTAAACTGGAATTGTTTACTTCGAGACTGTTTGAAATGATGATTTTATTGTGCATAGAATTATTTTTGATGCATTTTGATGCACTATAGGATACAACGTTGTGTTTGAATTGGGTGAATGGTTTATTAGGCTTTATTATTGCTCATTATGGATCCCATATCGTTCTTTGAATAGACATATTGTGAATGTTCATCACTCATAAGGCACTCGAACTATCAGTGTTGATAGAGGTTTATATTTTGCAAGTAAATATCATTAGATGGTTAACCTGTCGTTTCTCTATTAAAATATTCCTGAACATTTGAGCATCACGGAGAGAGCCATTTTACTGTGTGCAGACAGTTGAAGGGATTCTTGAACTGATCTTCAAAATATGTGTGCCTGTGTTCTTATATTCCTTGACAGATTTTAAGAATGCAACGGGTAACTATATTTTCGACACTGATGAATTTTCCGTAAGAATTTTTGTATCAGAATTCCATCTAGTTGACCGAAAATAAGGTGAGGAATTTTCAAATGGCTTCCTCACAGCCGCAGAACTTGATCACATAATTGTTGAATTTACTATTCTATCCTTGACGATTTTTCTTCCAAGTGATTGGATTTTAATTCACGCCAAAGAACATGATTAAGAAGTTGAATATTAATACAAACAACTAATGTGTTAAAATGATTACAATATTTGAATTGCAAATTATAATAATTTTGGAAAAATGGACAATAATTAACAGATAAACAGGTGTTCAAGGTGACTAAGTAATAAGTAATTAGAGATGAAATAGTGTGAATAACAAATAACGACATCTAAATAATGAGGATATCATATTGCTAAATATGTTGTTTAGGAGTAATTCGAATAATTCGTTGGCGAGTGTTTCTTTGCTATTAAAAGAACTGTGATACTACTCAACTTCATGAACTACCGTAGACTGTCATCTTACGATACCATTCCTCAGCATTTGGACCTGAAATTAGATCCAAAAGTTAGGAGGGGGATATCCGCGTTCTCATTTCCATGTCCATCGATGATCGAACTAACTACATTCATCTGCTTGTTTCTTTCTGTCTCTCTTGTCTGGCTGCATAACTGATTCTAATATTAGCTAATTCTTTGAATCCTGACCGCTTATCCGCTTATTTTAAAGTTATGAATAGTTGTCAGAAGCAAAATGATCAGTCAGTTATTCCTAATTTTAGAATATGTGTGCATCCTTGAACACTCTTTTGGTTGATAGTATAATGATATCATAGGCAACAATACTTCACCTTATTGATCATCTCAAGTGTGCAGATTTGTTTATTTTGATGCAGCAGCCCTCTTTTCCTCAACTGTTAAATGCTAGTTTTTCTGAAAATATAAATTGTGAATCTCAAATTCGGGTATTCCTATCTATAGGTGAAAGCGAATACAGTTGGACAATGTGCTGTAAAGATTCAGTAACCAACAAGCTACCGCACAATGCTGGAGAATAAGCTGGTGTTTCTTCAGCTTTCCCTCAGAAGTGACAAAACTTCTGTAGGAATAAAGTAAAAATAAGGCGCCACAACAATGCGGTAGTATCTAGCTGCCTAGCTGGTCTATTCGTATGCAAGAAATAGACGTTCAAGGCGACAGCAAACGGATGGATTCTCAGCTCAAGTTATCTCCTGTTTATATGCCAGTGACATGGCTCATACTTAGGAAGTACATTGAGAAGGATTTTAGTATTACTGAGTAATCCAGAAGCATCTGAGACTAAAGCTTTCACAACCATTCAACATCGTTGTTCCACGTCATATGATCGAAAATGAACATAATGCAGCAGTCATGAAACCTTCCGTGTTAGTCACACGTGGCTTGTTGGGTTTCGCAGAAACAACAGTCATCGAAATATGCGTATCAAACGTATGTAGAGGAAGGAAAAGAGTTGCCAGTCTCTCATTAACTGTTACCTCATTTATGCTCTTCTGATATTGTGATGTGATTGGAAGTCCTATTTTTATTTGAAAATGGCTCATATCACTCTTTATGTTGATGAAAAAGTTTTTATGGTTACGTAATCTGCAATAATAACGTGTTATGTTCATCAGCACTTGAAGGCGACTGTTAACAGAATCAATCAACTGTCACATACAGCTGACAAATCGAAACTAGGACGAACTAAGCATCCTGGGTTCTATTCTAGCCATTAACAGTCAGTTTTCAAACGAATTTATTTCTGAGCAACCATCGTCGCACAAATGACATTCTATTTATATAGGATAAATAGAAGTGAGTGAGTAAATCACCTATTATCCCCAATGAATGTGGTAGGAGAAAAAAGACTGTTAAGTTGTTGTCAATATAGGTCTTAATTTCAGACCATGGTAACTGAATTTAAAATAAAGGTTTAAGGTATTCGAATTTGAGTTTATATCAGACTCTCTTGCGTAATATTTCATTTCACTAGCTGTCATTAAAAAAACTGATGTTTCTCCACTTTTTCCCATGATGTATTTGCATTTTTGTCAAAAGTGCATGACTTAACAATAGATAAATACATGATGCTGAAAGAATATGATCGGGAACTTGTAGGCGGTAGTCTTAAATTGACACACTAAAACTAATAGGGTGCGAAACTGCGTCAAAATAAGATTCAAACTAGTGGCTTAATAATTAATGGACTGGAGCTCTGTGAGGTGAAACAAGCATCCCGGATTATTGACAGTCTTCTTGTGGATGAGTAGTAAGTAACTGTTTCTTTATCAACATGTCAATTATGGAAAATCTTTTTATATCCAAACACTTTTTGACTATCGTATAGTCATTGATACAATAAGAGAGAGCGTGCTATCCTCTGGTCTACCAATATAACTATGTTGTCCTTATTGACTTCATGGCTTATAACTAGCACAATAAATTGTGAATATATATAAATTTAACAACTCCCTATCCAATTATAGCACACTGATAAACTCCAATTAATCCAACCAGAATAATCGGTGCGCTGAATATCAGAAGGCATAAACATTGATATTAACAGGAACTGCTTCGAAACAATGTATTCAAGTAAACCTGTTTCGCGTGCTATTTGCACGAGAAACACACAGGTGAAAAAGAAGTCACGTCATATCCCTAAGCATTCTACGATCATTCATAAAGTTCCCAAACCTCGTAAAAATTGACAAGTCAGGTAAATTAACGACACTTCAATCAATCCATGCATTCATTGTTGGACAAGTGAATACTATATATACATTAGGATTCCCATCTCATTCAATCACTCACTCACTGACGCTTACAAACAATCAAACATCGACAAGAACAATGAAGGTACGACTGCTATTTCTCACTTCATATCTACATTCCTTTCTCCATTCCTTCCCTCATTCCTCTCTTCACCAACAGAATCTCACCCTCCTCATCTTCACCACAATACTCATCGCTCTCATCTGCACACCAGGTAAGTGACTGGTTGACTGGTTATTGACCGATGCATTGTGATGCACAGTGAGATTTGAAACTGTGTACAACTCTCTTCTTCTCATTCTGCCCTAATCTCCACGTGTTCTCTCATCATCACGTAGGTGCTGACGGTATGCTGGCTATGCTTCCAGTGACAATCAGAGCTGTACTGGCACCGGTGCTCAAGTTGGGATGCAAATTCGTTCCGAAATTCCTGTTTCCGACTGACGAGGAGATCGCCAGCTTCTAGTGTATACAAGCACACATTACCTACCACGTGTTGTGTAGATGAGCATTGTGAATCCAGAAATAGTGTTCATTGTAATAAAATCAGTGTGTGTATTAAATTGCGTTGCTTTTATTTTGTTTACGTTATGTGGGAGTGGTGTGGTTAGTGATGATTCTACTGGAGTTGTGGAATTTATAGTGATAATATGTCGAGAACTTTGATTCGGGACTTGAAGCTGCAGTGAGAAAACAACCAATCAGAAGACGTTGCTTCTCTGCTAAAAATAACGAATAATAATATACATAACAATCTGTAAATATCTCATGATTTTCTCAATACACAATCTGTTGACTGACTCTCGTCCTCTGTTGTTACAGTTAAATAAAGCGTAAGCCTTTCATTGAGTTTAATGTTGACAATCAATGAAGATCACAGGCGCCACAGTACAAGAGTGTTTTAGTAAAATTGCGAAGAAACTGCCGAATTCCTCTCCTAGACACCCTGGAGATCAAAGTGAAGCGCAATGAGTATTTCCACTTCAGAACGTGTATTGAGTAGCAATTAAATACTTTGTTTACAACTAGGAAATTTCAACCGCTATAATCTAAAGCACTGTCTTCATATACTACATAAGGTAACAATCTGGTGAAGATATGGTCTCCATGAATTCATATAAAAATCAACAGGAAGGCAACACTGGAGCTAAAAATATACCACGTAAAAATCGTTAGAGTGGAAATAATTGTTAAGACAAATCATAGATTGCACGATTGTAATCAGCGGAATATCATGAGTTTATTAATGTATCCATATTGTGAAACTTATACACGCAAAAACACAGAAACCTGCAATATTGAAAATCGATGCATCCTCCTTGTTCATGTATGCACCTCTCAATGAAAGCACAGATA